CCTCTCGCTGAACTCTGAGAAGGTTTTCTATAGATGTGACATGATTATGATGATGATGATGATTATATGAAACAGAAGGGGTTTACCTTTAGACAATTTTTATAATATCATGAACCCTCTCGCTGAACTCTGAGAAGGTTTTCTATAGATGTGACATGATTATGATGATGATGATTATATGAAACAGAAGGGGTTTACCTTGAGACAATATTTATACTATCATGAAACCTCTCTCTAAACTCTGAGAAGAATTTCTATAGATGTGATATGATTATGATTATGATGATGATGATGATGATTATATGAAACAGAAGGGTTTTCCTAAATTGGAAAAAGGTGGAAGGTTTGGGCCTCTACCTAGGGGAATGGCAAAAAGGGAACATTGTGGTATATGACTTATAGTGAACATAGAAATACAAAAAGTTAAAATTATTTCATATTTTAGGAAGCAGATAGATGATGCATATGACAGACGTGAGAGTAACATGAACACTTATGGAAACTGTTTTTATGTGTAAGCCTTTAGAAGTAGTTGTGATTAAAAATTAGAAAATAAAAATTCTGCAAATAACTAAATAAGAATTTAAACAAAGAAAGCTACTGAGAATTCGAAAAATATGGAAAAAGAAAACAAAACTGTAAATGTAAATGTAAGTGTAAATGTAAATGTAAATGATTTTAACTTTTAATTGTTGCTCTAAAAGTAGGAATAGATTGTTTTCATTTTTTAAAAAACGACTGTGAAAACGATGACGAAAAATGAAACGATCGTTTTTTAAACCGTTCCTTTTTAAAAACCAAAGTTTAAATTTTGATATAATCATTTAAACCCTAAAATGTGGTTTTGTATTGTTCTGAAAAAAGTGAAATGATCCAATCTTTAATACAAATTTTAGGCACAAATTTTACTTTTAATTACAAAAGTAACTTTTATAAACATTGAAATTATGAAAAAGAATCACATATTTATTTCATGTTCTTCTTATCTACTTTTAGTTCACTGCTCATTGAACAAGATAACAATCATTTTCTTTAAATTTTCCATTTGTTTCATCTGATGTTTTAATAGATAACAGTTAGATCAGTGGGCCTGCAACTAAGAGAGGGTTAGATCAGTAGGTACAACTAAGAGAGAAACACATCGTAACTTTAGCCTTGATTAAATGATTAGTTTCAAGGGTTTTAATTCATCAATATAGAAAAATGATTTCCAGAATTCTCATTGCTACTGAATCTACATCAAAATTGGAGTCACAGAAGTTCGTATTAAGATTTTGACTCCACTGGAGACCAACGGAGGGAATTCTTTTTCACTGGAGGGGTTTGAAAAAATGCTTTTTATAATTCAAAACTTTACGCAGGGTGATTTACATTTCACTTATAATTCCACTGGAGGGATTCAGATATCCTTACAAGGGGTTTATAATTCCACTGGAGGGATTTAGATATCCTTACTGGGGGTTTATAATTCCACTGGAGGGATTCAGATGTCCTTCCTTGGGGGTTATAATTCCACTGGAGGGATTCCAATATCCTTCCTAGGGGTTTATAATTCCACTGGAGGGATTCAGTTATCCTTCCAAGGGGTTTTTAATTCCACTGGAGGGATTCAGATATCTTTCCTAGGGGTTTATAATTCCACTGGAGGGATTCAGATATCTTTCAGGGGGGTTATAATTCCACTGGAGGGATTAGGTTATCCTTCCTAGGAGTTTAAAATTCCACTGGAGGGATTCAGATGTCCTTCCTGGGGGGTTATAATTCCACTGAAGGGATTCAGTTATCCTTCCAAGGAGTTTATAATTCCACTGGAGGGATTCAGATGTCCTTCCTGGGGGGTTATAATTCCACTGGAGGGATTCAGTTATCCTTCCTGGGGGTTTATAATTCCACTGGAGGGACTCAGATATCCTTCCTGGGGGTTTTAATTCCACTGGAGGGATTCAGTAATCCTTCCTAGGGGGTTTATAACTTCACTGGAGGGATTCTAGAAAGGATATCTGATTCCCTCCAGTGGAATTATAAACCCCCTGGAAATATATCTGAATCCCTCCAGTGGAGTTTTAAAACCCTGGGAAGGATATCTGAATCCCTCCAGTGGAATTGTAAACCCCTGGAACGGTATATGAACCTCTCCAGTGGAATTATAAACCCATAGGAAGAATTTCTTAATCCCTCCAGTGGATTTATAAACCCCCCTGAAAACATTTCTGAATCCCTCCAGTGGATTTATAAACCCCTAGATAGGATATCTAAATCCCTCCAGTGGAAATATAAACCCCCTGGAAAAATATCGGAATCCCTTCAGTGGAATTATAAACCCCCAGGAAGGACATCTGAATCCCTCCACTGGAATTATCCCCCAGGAAGGATATCTGAATCCCTCCAGTGGAATTTAAAACCCCTTGGAAGGAATTAGTACATGGCAAGGAGATAATAAATATGAGGAGGGCCAATAGGGTTTCTGTACACTTTGCTGTGACGTTTTTGGACTGCTGAAGAACTAGTTTTTGCGTAACAACACTAGCAAAGGCAGCCGATCTTATGTAAATAAACAAGAGTTAGTAAACTGTGAAAGTAGTATTATCTTGTTAAAAAAGATTGAAAAAGTTAAGGATTTTAGTTTTATACGAAAAGGACCTTATTACAGCGACATTTTCAATCAAATTCAAGGTTATCCCCCCCCCCTTGTAAATATGCCAGATATGCCAAATGTCTGTTTTTCATTTGTGTTATTGTTTACAATCTTTATTATTGTTGTTCCGCAAAAACTATTTCTTCAGCAATCCAAAAACGTCACAGAAAAGTGTACTGAAACCCTATCGCCCCCTCCTTCTATTCAATATCTCCTTGGTACATGGATACTTAGAAATCAACTTTGAAATCCGAGTTACAATAAGAAGTTGGAGTATTTTTACATGGTGTGCAAGTACTGATTCTTTTCAAGTTTTACTTTCTATTGAGATGAGTCTTATTGTTACAGACCTACAATGTCTTCTACTTGACATGGCTCTTTAGGAAGGTTTGGAAACCTTAAATCTAATAAACAAATATTTACAAAAAAAATCTAAAAGATTTTTCAAACACAGATGTATAAATAATTTGAAAAAAAGGGATTTTGTTTGTTTTAACATTATTTGAAGAATTATTTAAGTTTACAATCACTCAATAAATGAGACCACAAGGTTTTTTGAGATGTTTTTAAAATGATAATATAATTTGGATATTTTAGAATTTTAACTTACAGATGGCAAACCGTATTCGCAAAAGCAACTCCCCTCATACCTCCTAATTAAATTAATTGATTATTCATAATAAATCTAAATAATGTGAACATAAAGTGTAAGATTCTTAATTTTGTTTTTTTCTGCTTGTTAAAGTTAAAGTTAAAAGCTATAAAATTTTCAAAGACCCAAAATGATCAACGTAACAAAACATCTTAAAACTGAAAAATATGTTCCTAAAAAATCATTTAATGAATTAAAATGTTTGGCATTATAAAAAATCTGTAGTGAGGGTTCTTGTTCATAATAGTTTAATAAATGTGCTCTTTATAAATATGCTGTACTGGACTGGAGCTTGTGGACCCAGTCAGAAGGAAATTGATATTATAACTATCAGGTCTTCTATCATCCGGATTATTTTTTAATTCAGCATATGTCTAAAAAAAACATTTCAAATAAGTCACAAAAAATAAACCTTTCACTTTTTGTTGTCAGATTATCAAACTGATATTATTTTGAAATTATTTTATTCTTTAATATTAGGACTAATAATGTATTGTATAATGTATTGGACTAAAATTACGATCAGAATTGTCCTAATACATATTTTCATTAGTGTTTCCAATGAAAGTGGATTTTACTTGTGTGCAATTGTCAGCCCTGCAATTTTGCACAATTCTGAGCAATTCAAGAACAGTTGCGTGCAATTAAGCACAGTTTTACGCAATTGCCTGCATTGGAATTCGGATTTGAAAGCCTAACTTTATATATGTGAAGATTTAAAACTAAATCTGTAAACATAAGTTCTTCTTAAAACTTTACCTTCTTTATCCAGACACCGTTTACTTTTAAATCAAAACCTCCTAAATAATTATTTTTTAAAATAGGTGTGTGTATTTTTTCCCCACCTCCCCCCCCCTTATCTGTTGAAAATATTTTCCCCCCATATAAGTTAGATGAGTAGGGCATATGAGTTAGGCGAGTAGGGCAATCAAAAAACTTGCCTTTTCAGGTCCACATTTTTAATTCCCCCTCCCCCCCAGATCTGTAAAACTATCAGAGGGGGGTGGTAGTCTGTAAAAATATTTACCCCTGCTTTAAAACTTTATCAACACATTAAATGCCATTTAATAAAAAATTTACCCCAAAATAAAGATTTAAGATTTCCCATACACAAAATTGACTGAACTGAAAAAGCCCCCCAAAAACAAAGATTTAAGATTGGTGGGGGGGCAAAAAAATCCACTTTGCCCCCCCCCCCCCTCCTTAGCTGAATGTCTAGTTACGCGCCTGCATCTATCTATAGCCATCATCCAATCCTCTAAAATTTGTTCAATCCTTCATGAATACTTAAAAATCATGAATTGATTTCTTGTCATTGTAAAAAGTAACTTACCCTATAAATTATCACATATTGACACTTTTATGACTTAGATTGATTAATTTTAATTGAGCTGTACTATTGTAAAAGTCATCACTAGAAACATATTTAAATAATATCAATTGATTCAACTTTTACATTCTCTTACTGAAGTTTGTAAGATCAGCATTAATATCTGGTGCTCTGAAAAATTTAAAATTTGTTATCTGTTTTTAATCTTATTTTTAGAATGAACAGAAATAGTCCATTGTAATTGGTCTGCTGAACTTGAAATTTTATCATAAATCAAAGGAATTGAGTCTTTGCCACAAACTCAAATTTTGTTATCTTTAGAATCTGAAAGTGTAAACCTTAAAAATTACAAACTTATTTAATCTAACAGAAAACATTGTATGAAATATCAAAGGTTTACAACATGGGGTTGCAAATATATAGGGATTAAAAAATCAGAGTTTGTGACAAAGACTCAATTGTAAGGCAACATCATATAACTAAGAATCTGAGTTTCCTGTAAGATTGGCTTAAGAAAGTTCTTTTGTGTTAACAACTTTTGACAAAGGCCTTTCTATAGTCCTATCTTTCTATAGTATGTTGAAGCATCACACTCACCCTTGCCCCTTTAGTAAAAGTAAATTCAACCTATAGGAAGCATAAAGTCTGACCTGGGACTTTTTCAGAAATGAATTTTATTTTTCTTCTCTGTGTTTTCAGCCAAGCTGTCTCAGTCATTCAAGGAATAAGGTTTGATCAAGCTTTACATAATAATTCTACACATACATCTGGTTTTATTGGACTATATTGTATCAATCTAACTAAGAACATGTTCTATGCATTCGTTTTTTCATAACGATAGCATTGTTTTTGATAATTCCGTTTGTTTCCATGAAAGTACAATAGTTCACCGGGAACAACGCACAGCTCTAGGTGTAAGAAGTTAAACAAGTTCTTTGTAGCTAAATAACCTTTTTTATTTATAGATCCATTTATACTTTGTAAAGAAGTGCAATCCTGACAGAATTAACTTGCCAGACAAAAATATAAATATTTAAGCACATGCTGGATACATTAAGAGTTAAAAACCTTGCATCTGTTGCAAATAACTGCTTTTATTTAATATTTAGGGACAAGGTGGATATCATAATATTTAGGGACAAGTTGGATATCATAATATTTAGAGACAAGGTGGATAATAGTCGAACTAGAAGAACCTACAGACGAAGAACAGTAGAAGTTGGAGTTTATGTTGATAAATATTTATGGAAGACTATGCAGGTTATTTAAATAATTTAATACCCCATGTTACTCCTTCATCAATGAACTATTTGAAGATTAGGCCGAACAGTGGACAATGTTAAAAAATAGAATTTTCTTTATTTTACTTTTTTACATATCTTGATGTTTTTTAATGTTGTCTTCACATTTGGTTCAGCTATTATCATATTGATTAATATGATAATAATTTTAAAAAATGACTGGCACCATTGACGATTTCTAGGATATCTTCCATTACTGCTGTTAAGGATATTAAGATCATTAACAAAAAAAAGCTTTTAAAAAAATATAACAGAAAATACAGTTACCAAAACAAATAATTCAATAAGAAAAATGCTTTTTACAGCCCATAAATTGGGCCTTCATATATTGGGTGATTTTGAACTAGAAATTGATTTTGTACATATTATTGGGTTAAAAAGAGGGATAAGGAAAAGATAAGGAAAAAACAAGCAAAACATTATTTTTCATTGAGTTACATATGAGAGATTGAGAAAAAAAGTCTTGAAAAAGATTGGCAACTTTTTTTGAGAAAAAAACAGTTCTATTAAAAAAGGGATTTTAAGAGAAACTGCATCACATTGCTTTAAGGTTGTCATTATTGACTTGGGGTTTTGTTACTAGAAATCGCTTTAGTAGTAGTATTTTAATCAATAGAGAATGAGAAAGAAGTCTTACAAAAGCTATTTTATTCAGCGACAAGTTAGAGGATCTGATCGTACTGTGGAAAGTGCTACACATAAAATGGTTAGAGATCTATTCACAGATGCGGCAGTTTTCTTCAGAAAAAGTTCAATGTCAAGAAATGGTTAGTTTTAATAACAGTTCTATCCACAGTTAAAAACAGAGTTAAAAGATTTGTTTTTATTTGTAAAATTTGATGAAGATATGGCATTACATATTGGAAGCAATAAAGGCATACAAAATAATTTCTTCACCAACCAACTCTGAATCATATTTACAACCTTCTCTGATTCTAATTGCATCATAAAGCATATCTATTAATACTGAATATATGAACAACACAGCTTTACTGTCATTTAATGTGTTGATAAAGTTTTCAAACGGTAGTGAATACTGATTACTGATATTTTAAGAGATCTGACTCATATGCCCTACTCATCTAACTTATATGGGGGGAAAATATTTTCGAAAGATAGGGGGGGGGCCGGGGGGAGGGCCGTGCGTACAGGAAAAATACACACACCTGTTTTCAAAAAATCATTATTTAGGAGGTTTTGATTTAAAAGTAAACGGTGTCTGGATAAAGAAGGTAAAGGTTTAAGAAGAACTTATGTCCACAGATTTAGTTTCAAATCTTCACATTTATAAAATTCGGCTGTCAAATCCGATTTCCAATGCAGGCAATTTTGTGTAACTGTGCATAATTGCACGCAACTGTTCTTGAATTGCTCAGAATTGTGCAAAATTGCAGGGCTGACAATTGCACACAAGTAAAATCCACTTGCATTGGAAACACTAATGAAAATATGTATTAGGACAATTCTGATCGTGATTTTAGTCCAATACATTATACAAATGACCAATCGAGACAACTTTATAGTTTCCAGGTATGCATTTTTAAATCCAAATATTAAAGAATAAAATAACTTCAAAATAATATCAGTTTGATTAATCTGACATCAAAAAGTAAAATGTGTAATTTTTGTGACTTGTTTGAAATATTTTGTTTAGAAATATGCTGGATTAAAAAACAACCCGGATGATAGAAGACGTGATAGTTATGATATCAATTTCCTACTGACTGGGTCCACAAGCTCGGGTACAGCATATATATAAAGAGATTTATTAAACTATTTGTGAACAAGAACCCTCACTGCTCATGTTTTAAATCTTTATAATGCCAAACATTTTAACTCATTAAATGATTTTTTTTGGAACATATTTTTCAGTTTTTAGATGTTTTGTTACATTGATCATTTTGGGTCTTTGAAAATTTTATAGCATTTAACTTTAACTTTAACAAGCAGAAAAAACAAAATTAAGAAACTTACACTTTATGTTCACATTATTAAGATTTAATATGAATAATCAATTAATATTACTAGAAGGTATGAGGGGAGTTGCTTTTGCGAATACGGTTTGCCATCTGTAAGTTAAAATTCTAAAATATCCAAAATATATTATGATTTTAATAACATCTCAAAAAAACCTTGTGGTCTCATTTATTGAGTGATTGTAAACTTAAATAATTCTTCAAATAATGCTAAAACAAACAAATTCCTTTTTTAAAATTTATTATACATCTTAGTTTGAAAATCTTTTATATTTTTTTGTAAATATTTGTTTACTAGATTTAAGATTTCCAAACCTTCGTAAAGAACCATGTCAAGTTGAAGACCAGATAGTAATATTATTGTTTAACCCACCAAAATTGTAGGTCTCTAACAATGCGACTCAACTTAATAGAAAGTAAAACTGGTAAAGAATCAGTACTTACACACCATGTAAAAATACTCCAACTTTTCATTGTAACTCGAATTTCAAATTTTATTTCCAAGTAACCATGTACTAAGTACTAAGTACAATTTATGTTACATATTTTTGTATATCTCAAAGATTACAAACAGGAATAAATAACTCTATTGAGATTTTCCTTTTAATTTGATAAGAAAATTCATATGATCCAAATGTTTTAAATCACATTTCAGAAATGTTCTTATATAGCTGTATTTTCTTAGTTGAATTAAAATAGTTTTTTTTTCTAAAAACCAATCTGCAAACATGTAACATCATAACTTATGAAAATCTTGTAACATTTTATCAAATGTTATTACACATAAAAAATTATGTAGATTGTCGGATTTTACATAAATATCTAGATTTAAAACCAAATGAAACCCTTTTTGTCACCCCAACACTATTTCAAAACAAATTCTTACAACTAGAAAATTTATTTTTAAGAATTTTCGGATTTGTGATATTTATAAAAAAGTGTACACAATTAGTTTATTGGAGTTGCGCTTTACTCCGCCCCAGCATTTATTTGATACAAGTTCTTGTATTTTTTCTTCATAGTGTTGAGCTAGTTCCATATTATGCTTTTTGATTGAAAAGCAGCCTCCCAATGGTGTATCTGTTTATTATAGGCAAAAAATGTTCCCAAAAGCATTCCAGTTCCAGTTTCCATTAAGTTCTTAGTTTTCTTATAAAAAGAAAGATTCCAGTCTATAATTTCAGAATACAGATTAGTTTTTAATGGTGTACCCCACCACCCACATAGCACTGAGCACATTTAGATTTGTTTGTCAACAGTTAGATAAATTGTTCAAAAAAAAATTTCTAGTAGCTGTTCGTTTTATAGCTAAAACTCAACATTCCTTTTCCATTCTTTCTAAAAGTCTCCATTTGTTAATGATCTCTATTTTATTAATGGCAGTAGCAGAAGATATCTTAGAAAACTTTAATGGTGCCAGCAGATAACAAGCCATTTAGAATTATTATGTAAAAATAGCTGAAAAAATTCAATCTTAAGTTTGGAACACATTTGTTTTTTCATAAAGTGTCAATTTTTTTCAAAAGCAAGTTTTTTATTCACAATTTCAAAATTTTCAGTTTTTGCCGTTTTTTTAATACATTTCAAAACTTGCCATTTATTTACAGAATGTTGCCCAGCCCTACTTCCACATATTTTTTAAAACCTTTTTAGCTCAAACTATTAGGGATGCTGCTGGTCTGATGAATCTATATGTGAGTGATGGGGGTAAGTATGATGGAGTAGCCCCTATATTACTGGCTCATGAGTTGGGACATGTTATGGGAGCTGGAAAGCATGATGGAGAGAGAGGAGAAGCTGAAAATTGTAAAGGAAAATATATTATGACACCAAGCGTTGGATATGACCATACTACATGGAGTTATTGCTCCAGGTAAAATTTATTCAGTGATTTTTCCCTTTCCCCTTTTTACAGCTTTTGAGGATTTTGTTGTGAAATAACTATTTATGGGATAAAAATACCAAAAATACCGGCCATTTTGAGTTCAATTTTTCATAGGAAAAGAAAAACTTTTAGAGATCATTTATTAAGCTCATTTAATTTTAACCTCTCCCCAGATTGAACAAGAATATAGCTTTGAAGTTGAGATTGGCAACTGATTTATTAGTTATACATCTGATCGCCATAATTGTTATGGATCAAAAAGAAATATTTTAATCTGATGCCAGTGAGATCATTAGGACGTCCATTTTGTGCCTTAATTTAACCAGAAAATTGGAAAGTACCACATGTAACAGCTTTCTCTTCTAAATCCATATAGATGACCAAAAATAAACGCTTAATCAGTGGAGATTGCTTACAATGGATGCCTCATGCACATTTTTAGCAAAAGTTTCAAGAATTTTAAAACAACAATTTTAGTTGTCCTGTTTCCCTTTGGTCAATTTTGAAAGTCTTCATATTTGATACACTTTTTAATTATGTAATTTTTCAAAGTTATTTTCCAAGTTTGTACTATATGAATGATGTAATATTTCAGGAATCAGATTGATAGACACATGGCTAAACTGGAGAAGGACAGGCATACCAAGGGAAATTGCTTTTATGTCTAACCATGGATGGGCACAGCTTGAAGAAGTAGCAATTGGATTTCAAATTACAAAAATAATTTTGTAAAGAATGGAAGGGAAATATATGACTTGCATTTTAACGTTTTTCATTTAATAAAAGTTCCATCTTTTCTTATGACCGGAAGATAGACAATATTTTAAAAGGCCTAATGCTGTGCTTTGACAGACTTCTTGCCATGTATCTACTACCCAAGATGAGGTACTAGTACAAACGTCGGACCCACAAACATTGGATGTTACAAAGGGTGGACAGTTCAAATGTCAGACTTACAAACATTGGACAAGCACAGACATTGGACTGGTTCAAATGTCAGACTGGGACAAACGTTGGACCAGTAAAAACGTCGAACCAGTGCAAATGTCCAATGGGTACATCTATCAGGAAAAACATTGGACTTTGGTTAAGTTTGAAAAAATACCATTGCTGTAAGAAACAAATATAAAATCACTCACATTGTGTTAAATATCTAAGACAACTGAATAAAGTCTCATTGTTTGAAGGAAGCACTATATAAACAACAGATTCAAAAGGAGTTGAGTTCTTGTCACAAACTCTGATGTTTTAATGCCTATATCCTTGCAACCCAATATCACAGACCTTTGATATTTTAACTTTCAAACAGTTTAAGTTTGAAACGAGCAAAAGTTAATTCCATTAGGTTGCATTAAAATAAAGGTATTAGAATATTTTAGTTATTAGTAAGAACTTAGTTCTTTTGGGTAGATTTTAAATAACCATTCAAAAAAAAGAAATAACTTTTTAAAAATAAAAAAATCTTAAAATTTAAACTTTTTTCCTTAGTCAGTCGTTATTACTGGTCTGATGTTTGTATTGTCCGACGTTTGTACCAGTCCGACATTTGTACTAGTCCAATGTTTATACTGTCCAACGTTTTTACGTCTTTGGTTTGTACCCTCCCACAATTGTACTGGTACCCAAGATGATTTTTAAGTTGTCTGTAAAGCGCAGTGTCTCCAATATCAGGTTTAGCTTCTGCTTTTGTAGTCATAGGCCTTGACCAATTCTTCTGTAAAGATCTCCTGTCCCAAAGTTATCTCGGTTGCTTCTACAACAGATATGATATGTGGAGAGTTGTCTGTTAAGACCAATATCTCCTGTATCAAGATCATCTTGTTCTTCTATGATGGATATGTGGAGAGCTGTCTGTTAACAGCAGCATCTCCAGTATCAGGTTTAACTTCTGCTCCTTGATTCCTAAGTCTGACTGGATCTTCTAGCTGCTCCAGATATGTAAAGAGCTGTCTGTAAAGATCAGCGTCTCTAATATAAGGATGAGGCGCATCTGATATCTTGGGTATCCTACGTCTCCTCTGTATCCGGGATATCCCAGTGGGTAGTTCAGACAAGCTGTTTTGAGAGCAATTGGACTAGTTCTAGCAGAAGATGAATCTCTTGATGAGGTTTTCAAATGAGTATGGTGAACCCTTGTGTTTGTCTTTCCTAAACCAGCTGGAGAGTAAAGAGTGTCCTTTGATATCCTCAGTGATGTGGAGGACTCTAAGGGTGTATACTTCTGTATGATGAGGTGGAAGGAGGCCAGTGTCCTCCTTAGTTCCCTGGAAGGCATGATAAAGATATATCTATCTGCTAGCTGTCGGTTAACTGTCTGTTGTGCAAGTCCCCAGCCTTTCTATACAAACAGGAGATAAAACTCTACGTCTGTATTCTAGAAAGATCTGGGGTCCAATCTTCAGGTTCTATATTCTGTTTTGACTCAGAGAACAAAGAGAGAAAGGGGCAAGGGGGGGGGAAATTTAGTATGGTAACCAGTGCTTTAAATAATACAGTAACAAATACTCAATTCCTTTTGGCAGCCTTTTTTCTTTCATCTTAAAGGGAGTTCCTGATTTAGAATGCATCCCTGATTTTTAATGTTAATGATTGTAGACTTGGATTTCCTCAAAATGGCAATATTTTTTGTTTTCCTAATTTTTACGAATAAAATGCAATGGGTTTTTAACATTTTTGTATTATTTTTTACCCAAAGCCTAAATTTTTAACAGCAGCCAATCCAGTTAACATCTGTTCACTGCTAATCAAAACAAAGCTCAAACTTAAAGAAACTACTATCAGCAGGTAGGACCAACTACTGCCAGTCCTCCCACTGATACTGGTCCAACAACTACAACTAGTGCTACAACTGCTTCTAGTCCTCCTTCTACAACCAAATCAGGATTTGCTGCCATTATACCATTCAATAGTCGTAATAATAATTTTAGTTTTCAATATTGTTTTTCATCTTTTGTTAAAACTTTAAAAACATAAATTACATAAATTCATTGTTAATCAACAACCAATTTAATTTTTTTTCAGTTTTTAACAATTGTAAAAATTATAAATTGTTAGGCTTTGTTTTCTTGTTACTTTCAAAAAAATATCCTTTTTTGTTTTTCTGGAACAATCCACTTTGTTTTTCTGACGAACCTTCATTAACAATCATTAACAACCCTTAACAACAGACATGTTAAATATGCTGGTAAAAGTTTCCCTATTTCATAAATAGATTTGCACAATGTAAGTTAGAAAATACATTTGCAACTTTTATAAATTCAAGTATTTGATTATTATAAATTCAAAATAAAATTGACTAGATATTTTTTTTTTGGGGGGGTGGGGGTGAAGTTTGAGTGAAACATAAATTGGGTGAAATGTAATTTGGGCGAACTGTTACCACACCATATATTTCTCTTAAATTTTTAATAAAATTATTTTTATAATTTCAAAACCAATAGCATCTTCTTTAGACCGGGCCCCTCTATGCTTAAACATAAAAACAATTTCCATTGGTATGCCTGTCCTTCTCCAGTTTAGCCAAATGTTTATCTATCTGATTCCTGCAATATTATATCATATAAATGTTTAATCTATAGCACAAAGTGAATGAGACAAACCTGGAAAAATAACTTTGAAAAAATTCAAAAAATATTTGAAGACTTCTAAAATTGGCTTAAGGAAAACAGGACAATTAAACTTGATTGCTATAAAATACTTGAAATTATGCTAAAAGTTTGCATGAAGCATTCAGTTTTAGCCATCTTCCCTGATCAAGCATTTATTTTGGTCATATACACAGAGTTAGACGAAAAAGCTTTATATATGGTAAATTAAGGCACAAAATGGACGTCAATATTAAGCTCACTGGCATTAGATATTTATATTAAATATATTAAATATTTCTTTTTGATCCATGTAGATGACCAAAAAAAAGGCAATCAAATGAATAAACAATAAATCAGTTACCAATCTCATCTTAGAAAATCATATTCCTGTTTAATCTGGGGAGGGGTCTAAATTTAATTAGCTTAATTTATGACCACTCAAAGTTTTTCTTTTCAAAATTGATGGTATTTTTGATCCTTTTATTCCAACAATATGTATTTCAATACAAAATCCTCAAAAGCTGTTGGGAGACGAAAAATATACCCCTGAATAAATTTTACCTGGAGCAATAACTCCATATATTATGGCCCTTTTCAACAGTGTGTGTCATGATATAATTTCCTCGGCAATCTTCAGCCACTCCTTTCTCTCCATCATGGGTAGCCTGCTCCCATCATATGTCCCATCTCATGAGCCAGTAAAATAGGGGCTACTTCACGGTCATACTTACCCCCATCATTCACACGTAGAGTCATCAGACCAACACCATCCCGGAATAGTTTGAGCTGAACAGGTTTTAAAAATATGTTTTAGTATGGCTGGGCACCGTTATGTAAATGAACAATGAGTTTTTAAAACTAAAGAAAAGTGCCTATTAACGTAAAGCAAAATCCGGTAATTTTGAAATTGTTATTGAAAAAAAGTCGGTCTTGAAAAAAAAAATTAACAGTTGCTTATCTCCCTCGAAAGAGTACAGACCTCTCTCATAGCAGTCCCGCCTTCACAGTCTGGGGGAGCACGGAGTTCAGCTGCCCATGTTGTATATATTACAGGGAAGTAGCAAGTGTAATACAGGAGGAAAATAAAACAAGAACGTCATCTTCAGCCTGGTTCAGCTGAAAGAAGGAGTATAACCCCTGATGGGTACACAAGCCTTGCACAAAGCTACCGGTTTTTCCTTGAGGACTGGACTGGACTGCTGTGAAATATTCCTTACAGCTCCCTATTTTGCATTTATGGGTTTCCTTAAAATTCCCCTTAAGTTGAAAAGACTATTACAGAAGGAACAAATGGAGCAATCCCCTATACCCTTCCTCCTACAAACCTCTTTATCTCTCTCCTACCTGCTCCACAACTAAATGTCAAAAGAACTATTATAAGAAACCTCAAGGCCTAGAAACAATAAACAAGAAGAAAAAAAAAATCAATCAGGAAATGGGAAAAAAATGGAAGGGGATCTGTAAAGCTTTACACTTTCAAATATGTTGACAGCAAAGGGAGACAACATTAGGGAAGGGTCTTGGAGAGACGTCCCCCCCCCTCAATTTATTTCACCCTACGTAAAAATCCTTAAAAAATGTGTTGTGATGTAGAACAAGAAATAAGAAATGTCAAAATATTTTCATCTGATATCATATAAATATTAAAATAAATTGTTGAAGTAAAAACAATTTATAAAAAAGAACAAACAGATGTGTATCAAAATAATGTAAATTATTATTAAAATTAAAATTGCATGAAACTTAAATGAGCTGGTTATATTTGATATGTTATAATATAACTTAGATATTTCATGATCTTAACTTACAGATTGCAAACGGTATTTGTATTTGCTATGCCGCTCATTCTTCCTAAAAAAAGTAGAACATTAAATACTATTTCTATATTAAATAAATTGATTATTGATAATAAATCTCAATTTTGTAAGCAATGAGTTTAAGCGTAAGTTCCCTAATTTTTGTTTACTCTGTTTGTTAAATTAATGTGAAAATGAATAATGTAACAAAACATATAAAGTCTGAAAAAAAACGTTCCAAATCTCTAATCAATTAATGTGTCAAAATGTCTGGCTTTATAAAGATTTGAAACATCAGCAGTGAGGGTTATTGTTGAAGCATTGTTCAAAGAAGCAGTGATCTATGGTCGTACAGATAGAGCTGCATCCACAGCCAAAAGTGAATTCATAAATAGTTCAGTTTAATAATTGTGATCTGTACCTGACCTTGTGGCTCCAGTCAGAAGGAAATTGATATCATAATTAAAACTTGTTCTGTCATCTGGGTCGTTTCTTAATCCAGCATATTTCTTGGAAAAACATTTAAAATAGTAAAGTTTTATCATTTGAAAATATATTTGGATTAAAAAAATGCATAAAAAATGGAAAGCCTGAAGTTGTTTAAGTTGGACCCTTGTATAATGGACTAAAATCAAGATCAGAATCATCCTAAAACATATTTTTATTAGAGTTTCCAATGAAAGTGGATGTTACATGCAATTAAAATCCCTGTAATTCTAAGCAATTCAACAACAGTTTCAGACAATTATGCAGAGTTGCACCCAATTCCACAAACTGAATTCCAATTTAAAAACCCTAATTTTATATATGTGAAGATTTAAAACTAAATCTGTAGACAATAAGTTCTTTTTAAACTTTTACCTTCTTTATATAGACATTGTTTACTTTTAGATCAAAACCTTCTAAATAATAATTTTTTTAAAAGGTGTGTTTATTTTTTGAAATAAATTTTTTCTCCCTGGCAGATCTTTTGAAATCAGTTTTTTCCCAAAAAAATGTAGGGGCGTGAGCATTTAGTGCTAACATTTTTATAGTTTTATTTGCTAAATTGGGACAAATAAATCATTTTTAGGCAAAAAAAATTGGGTAATAAGGTTGTGAAAGAATAAAAAAAACTTGCCTTTTTAGGTCCAAATTTTTATTCCCCCCCCCCCCCCCCCCCCCCCCCCCCCCCCCCAATATCAAAAAACCCTCCGGGGGGGGGGGGTTAATTCTTGAAAATATTCATCTAGCTATGTTATAAAACTTTAAAGCACATTTAATGACAGTAAAGCTGTTGTTCAGAAGATTTGCAATGAATAAATTTGTTTAATCGCAAATATAATCAGAAAAGGTTGTAAACTTGATTCAGTGTTGCTTGGTGAAAAAATTACTTTGTATGCCAAATGTACTGTTTACATTAATATTTTACTAAATCATAAGTTTTTAAATGTTTAAAAAGGTTTTCTTAAGGAGAGAAAATTTCCTTAATTGCAAAAAATAGTAACAATATTTTCATACTTTACAAATAAAAACAAATCTTTTTTAAATTATAATTGTTATTAAAACTAAACATTTCTTGACATTGAATTTTTTCTGAATAAAACTGCTGCATCATTAAATAGTGCTCTAACCATTTTATTTGTAGCACTTTCCACAGTACAATCAGATCCTCTAACTTGTTTCTGAATATCAAAGCTTTTGTTATTTCAATTTTCAGATGTAAGATATTAATAGTGTAATTTAATTTATCCTTTTAAGTCACTTGTGCTCACCGTAAAAAGTTTGCAATTTGGATAAAAACTATTAAAGTTTTCTTAAATGGATCTAAAGAATTTGGTTATAACATGTCTTTTTCACTGTTTGTTAAGTAACCTCAAAGATAGAATTCTTTTTGTAATAGAACAGTTTCTTTCTCAAAAAAAGTAACCAATCTTTTTCAAGACTTTTTTTACAAACTCTCATATGTAAATCAATGAAAAATACTGTTTTCCTTTCTTTTTTCATTTTCTCTCTTTTTAACTCAACTAGAAATTCAAGGCGCTTCGCGCCCTTCTTTCTAGCCTTAGAGGGTGCTTCGCGCCCATCTTTCTAGCCTTAGAGGGCGCTTCGCGCCCATCTTCTAAATTAGTTGTGCACATGTTCTCTTTGTGTACATCGTAAAACAAAACAAAAATAATACGCAGATTTTCACAAAAAATTTCGTGGATTTTCAAAATTTTAAAAAATTTAATGACGATCAAATTTTGATGGAGACAAATATTTGAAATTTTGATTTTTCATAAACCTTCCCTGGGGTCCTTAGATGTCCCACAAAAAATTTGGGCCCGATCGGTTCAGCCGTTTTGATGTTTATTGGATACAAACAAACAAACAGACAAACAAGCCAAATTTATATATGTTGTGATGTACACATCTTACACATCAAATCAACTATGCACTAAGTGCTGATATTTCAGGATCAACTCATTAAGTTTGGTTGATCCACAATTGATCTAGTCATTAACACTATATCTAAATTAGACAGGGTCGCTAATTAGGTCCAACACACAATAACAGGTTGATTCCTAAACGTCCCCAAATCTTTAATAATTATATTATGTCCCAATTAAATCTAATAACATTCATTCTGTACATGTAAGTTTATTTAGTCATATTGTTTAAATGCACATACTTATACAAAACTACTCTGTTATGATCATTACAAGAATAACTCTGATCCTATTAAGGATCATGAGCTTGGCCATGGATGGGATCCCTAGAAACCTCTGCATCAATACGCCTAATCTTAGATAACATTACCATGATGTCCTTTAACCCATCTACTAACACCTTGTCCTCCTCGTGCTCCCAGGGGTAGTTCATCCATCTTAATTCTATGAAGTCCTGCAAATTGGAGACTCTACCGTATAGGTACATGATAGCATCTGGACTCTCACTACTAGGTATCATTATCCTGATATACTCGAGCTTGTCCGTAATCTCCTCATCATCATGATGTTCTCCAGAGTAGTCCTTCCACCCAGGCTTGCAACTAGACAATTGTTTTGCCTTTCATTAAAAATTCATGATTTTACATGAAAAATATTTTTTTAATATGACACATCACACAATATTTGCGGTGAACATGTGGGATTAATTTAATAGTTGTACTACAGTATTAAAGCAATATCATAATAAGTGGCAGAACTGATAGTGAAAATATCTAAAAAATACTTAATAAACCCTCTTTCCCTTTCCCAGGAAAAAAAGCATAATGAAAAAAACAAAGATTAAGGCACCTTGGAACCTTGTCAACCTGTTCTGATCTACGGCAGTAGTTAGGCTTAGAGACGAAGGGGGTCTGAGTGTGTGTATATGGTGTATTAAGGGCTTTATTGATTGCAACTAAGCACAATAAACTAACGTTCAATTATCTTTTTTTTATTTTACGATAAGAGCTCTTAAATTTGCTCAAAGTCAGGATTGATGATTCGCTAAATTGCAAAACAGGGTGGACTTCGTCACTTCTTGCCCACCCCCCTACAGGGGGGGCAAACTTTCTTAAGGGAGGGGCATGCCCCCCCCCCTTGAGCAGGCTAGGGGGGGCCTGGCCCCCCCTAGTTGCGCGCCTGCCTCCACCTTAACCTTATAAAGTCTTGCAGCTGGTTAATCTTGAGATAAAGGCGTATGATAACATTGTTCTTGTTGGTGTCGGTGATGTCCATCTCCTCTGACCTGAGGTTCTCTATCAGCCTGTTGGCATAAGGATCAAAGGTGTAGACTATCTCTTTAATATCTCCAATATCTTCAGGGGTTTGAAGGCTGCCCTCATCCCTAAAGTTCCTGTTCACATCAAGCTGTTCAACTCCATTCTCTAGAAATGATCTGACTCTAAAGCTGGAATGATCTCATCTTCAGCTATATCTTCAGCTGCTGGAACAGTAACAATAGGAGCTAGACTGCTCTCCAGAGGCGCCAGGTCTAGGATATCAACATCATCCTCTCCTACATCTTTGGATCTCACTTGGTACATGTGGTTCATCATCATCTAATTGGCACGCTCATCTGTTCAGAAACTAACTGTATCAATATCAGGTCCTGTTCGCTGTATGTAGCACAGGATCCAGAGCGGTAGTGTGCAGGAGACTTGTGTCTTCTGCTACGGCTTGGGTTGTATTGAATCATTCCGATCTCTTGATGTATCTAAGGGACTGTTCACCCTTTTTCCTGGGAACAGTCGTGAATACAACATCAATAATATGTAAAAATCATTTTCTAGTTCAAAAACACCCATTAAGTAATGTCAAAATTTTAGGGCTGTAAAAAAGCAGTCTTAGGTATTTTCCCAAAAAAAAAATTTCCTAAGAGCAACTTCCCAAGTGACAATTTCCCAAATGGCCTTTTCCAAATGTGTAATTTCCAAAGAGGTAACTTCCCAAAGGTTAGATTAGGCTGGTGGCCTTGGGACTATGATTGGCTAGGGGACCAGACACTGTGGCTAGGACAGACAAGGGCAGTTTCCGCTTGGGAAAATGCCTTTAGGAAAATACTAAATAATTAAACATGGCTGTACTAGAATTTTTTGTATTATAAACTTTCTATTTATGAAAGAATGCATTTTTTTGGATTTCAAACTTTTTTTTAAACCAAATATAGAATTTAAATTTTCTTTGGGCATAATCTTTATAATCACAGTTCAGTTACATATATAGCAAAATTATATGTCTGACAAGTCATCATCAAAGTTTTTACCTTAATTTACTGACAAAATATTCGAGTTCATACATCTCGACACATTATAACCTCCATCAACTAGTTTGTAATAACGACTAAATAACTAGATAAAGATCAGAGCAATAGCAAATTCAAATGGACTAGATAAAGCTCAGGAATATATGTATAGAGATTTGCACAAACAGTTCAGTTACATATATGGCGAGATTATATATCTGACAAGTTAGAAAATTAAACTTCCTATGATATAACCTTATCTTAATCTGTGATAAAACCCATGATATATTTAATTATATTCTTATGAGAATGTTAATCATATTATAATACGTATTATGATCTTGATTTATCTCTAATAAATCTTACTTACTTAATTTTTTAAGTTATCATCACAGTTTAAACCTTAATTTTCTGACAAAATATTTTGAGTTCATACATCTCGACACACTATCACCTCTATCAACTAGTTAGTAGTAAGGCAAGATAGGTCAGAGCAATAGTGAATACAAATAAAGCTCAGGAATATATATACAAATATATATATATAGATCTGCACAACCCAGGCCGTTAGAACTGAGATTCTGATGACCTAGTATGAGTTACAAGTTTCTATCTAGATCTGCACAAACCAGGCCCTTAGAACTGAGATTATGATTTACTAGTATGAATGTTACAAGTTTACATCCAGATCTGCACAAAACAGGCCGTTAGAATGTACGAGAGGTTACAGGTCTCTTATCTTTACTCCGATACAAGTTTTGAAGAGAATGGGCCTGGGCCCCTCCGCCAGGCAAAATTCCTGCAAGTATGTTGAGACATGGAAACTAGAGTTTTTCATCATTGAAAAGTGAAACTCACTGATGTTTTATAATTTCTCTGTCGATAATCTCCTCTAAAGATTTCTCATGTTGATGGAGATTGGCGGACATATCAACTAACCCTGGGTTGCCTACCCTGTTTATAGGGTTCTCTTGGTAAGTAAAGAAGGACACAACCCTCCCAACCTTGACCAACCCTAACACCTCATCTAAATGTGATTTAACAGCACAGGTTGGATCTAGAAGAGTTGAAACTTTTCCTACATTGAGCAAACAAAATTCCCACTTCACTTCGACTGAAGTCAAGATTTCAACGGATTAATCTTTTCCAGGAGACAGAGAAGAGGAGGGTTAGATGACAGATTGATCTTAAGGTGCTTGGGCTTGTTTAAATCTAGACGACAGAGTGTAACTGTGACGTCAGAAAGCTCCTTATAATCCATGAGTTCTATATCAAGGAGTCTAATTCTCAGAATTCTGGGCTGTCTGTAGGCATGCAGCTTCTCCTGAAGAGGTTTTAGATCTTCGGTAGATGGTATAGATGGTCCTGAAACACCAGCAATGTCAACGGTCCGGATCTGAACCTTACTTGAGGCATAGTTAAATATTCTCCCAACCTTCTTATAAACCTGCTCAGAAGTAGCATCAAAGTT